GACTGTTTTGGAATAGGTAGACAGAGAAAAGCCTGGTCTCCGTGCTTCCTGCCTGGCCTCATGTAGAGTGAGGCTTAGTTTGAATCTGAGAACTGCTACCTTACATTTGAGCTAATAGGCAACGCAGTTCCTATAAAATACATTATGGGAGTTACCACGATTGACACATGTACGTAACAGAGCAGGGCAATTTGAACGTTCATGACCAGGTTGAGCACATAGAGGGCAACGGGCTGTGGAGAGACAGTGTTTGAATGGTTGGCCAAAACGCCAACATTTCTTACATTGACATGGAAAGGGCCGACATGGTAAGACAATCCACTAATATAAACTTCATGGTGGTGGTCATGTCTTAGGAAGCTAATCTTGGCAATAATGGTATGGGACTTACCCTAGCCTCTGGGAGAAATAGCTTAGCACTATACTGCCACTGCATCTTAATCAGCAAGGCAGGCAAGTAGGTCATTTTCACAATCTGACCAGTTCTTATCATAGATACGACAAGTAGTCGGGAAAATAGAAAGTTCCAATACAAGTATTAAGAGATGGGTGAAGTTCAGCAGGAATGGGTTTGCCAGTGAGCTAAGTTAGGTTAGATAGTGAACAAGCTTGGGATTCAGATGTAACTTTTACAAGGCATGAACGACCAGAGACACTGTTGAAAGAGAAGGCATTCTCAAAAGGGGGCTATGGGGTGGAATCATAAACATTGATCCCACTTGGCTGGGCCAAAGAGAGTACTCAAAAAGTTTGCAGAGGTAGAGGCAGTAGAAGGATGAGGGCGGGAGGAAGATGAGATAGTGTGGAGTGGAGTGGTTTTGTGGGCGGGAAGACAATAAGGATGAGGAGTAGTGATAAGGGGAGAGGGGGTAGGCTTTGAAGAAGACTGTGCAGCAGGAGATGGAGTGGGGAATGGTGGGAAAGAGGAAAGGATGCATTCTGAAGGTTGAGTAATGACCTGGTTGGTTGGTTCAGAATGGATAGCGTTGTCAGTAAATATCGAGGAAGGGTATTAGCATCAGTGGTTGGAGCCATGGTCAAAGGAGTGACAGGGGTCGGAAAACCAACAAAGTCAAATTTAGATAGGCTAGTTGATGAAGGAGCAAGCCTTTAATGTCCCTATTAAGGATAAATAATCTTCATTGCTGGTCATGGTGAGCCTGAATAAAATTGGGAAAAGAAAGAGTCAATTCCTCAGGGTTCCCATAAGGGGTAAGAGGTAGTTGAGTACCAAAGGAATCTAGGGATTCATGACTTGATTCTAGAGCCCATGACTCCTGGAGGCCATTCATGACTGACACAAAGCCAGCCTTTCATCATTTCAGCACAGCTCTCACACCTTAGGAATAAGACAGCAGGGGATGAAGAAGATAAGGAGGAAGAAAGGGGAAGAAGAAAAGACCATACAAAATTAGTTGAAGCAAAGGCTGAGGTTGAAGATAGGGGCAAGCCCATATATTGGGCCTCAAACTCTGTCTCCCAAGCCCCCCACGACAACAACAAGCAAGGGATTAAGAGGTACTGTCAAAGAAAGTTGCAATATTCTCATAGCATTTACTATTACCGTATATAGATTTCTGTTTGAAAATATGAGAATAATTAAGTTGAAACATTGATAATGTCAATTTCCTTTGACAAGTCAGTTATTTACTATAATGTATGACAATCATCTTTAATGTAAAATCAATCATGGTGGTTAGATTAAGGCCAAACAATCTTTTGAGTATGGATATTTTATCAAAAGACAAAAGGAAAACACTGGTAAATACTGTTTTGTTTTGTTACAATGAAAAAATATTTAGTGGAATAGTTAATAATTTACTATTCAATGCCTAACAGTATCTCGTTTTTATCTAAAACAAGATCATTTCTTTCATTTTTTTTCTTATTGCTAATGAAGGTCATTCCACAAAAAAACATACTATTTGTTGAAATATTTTATTATGAAACTGATAGTTACAATACTCTAATGTACAATACCATATTCATAACCTAAATACAAGCACATAGAGTGGACACTGTGCTTAAGCCTACTGAATCTGAAATATGTCTGATAAAGTAGATAGACTAAATTATTACTTGGTCATTCCATAATCCCATTCATTCCCATACATACATTGCCACACTCAGCCTTCAGAAATTCCAGTAATTGAAATATAGTAGTAGATTTATTTGTTGAAAAAAATGTGATTCCAGACAGTGTTGTCCACAGGTAGAGTGAAAGTTTGCTAAATTCAATGAGCAAATATTTTATCGTAGCCTTGTAATGTAGGAATCAAATGAACCAATTACATATGCCATACTTATTTATACATGCTTAATTTACATGGATGTAAATAATAGCAATTTTATCTTAGTCAACTTAATTTGAGCAACATACAAGGCTGAATCAGTTAACAAATTTTCACTGCTTATTGGCACTAGCAACAGGTCTTGCGTGTGGTCACTTGTTCACACCTGAATTCATGCTTCCGCTACTGCTTTCAGGTTTCAGTTTTATTGTCACCTTTACACAAGCTTTTTTTATTTGAAGGATTAAAGGGGTTCAAAAGAAGAAAATACTATTATTTGGGGAAGGGGAAAAAAGTGCAGTTAAAAAAATAAGTGTGGGTAGGAGTAAAAAAAAAATTATATATTATATATAATATATATATATATATATATATATATATATATATATATATATATATATATATATATATAATATATATTATACATAAAAATCTTGCCATGTTAAAAAGACAAAAAGACAACCCATGCAAATTACCCCCATAAGTGAGCATAGTGATACACTGGTCCATGATATCAAATGATTCTCATTATTTAGATATTTAGTTTTCTTTCTTTTCTCTCTCTTTTTTTTGGTGCGTTTCCAAGGTGACTCTATGTGGAGACGAGGGCAAGTGTGCAGCTATGAGGCAGAAGTGTCAAGAGGACGGATCTTTGGACAGGTATCTTCAATCACCGTAGGCATATTTTAATACACTTGGGGAAAGTATCGGTTCCAATTATCTATATCAATATATTTTTTGAAGGGGTGAAGTATAGGCCAATTTAGGGAAGGTAAATCGGGGAATATAATTTGTGAGGAGAATTTACCTAAGGAAAACAAGGAAGAAAAGAAAAGGAAATGGGTTTTACTTGATCTTTGAATAGTTGTTTGATCTCCCCTCCAGTTATATCAACATTAAGCAGGAAATAATAATGAAATAATATCATAGGGGTAATGACATGGTATGTTCTGGCCACTGTTTTTTTCCTGATAAAATTTCAGTCATGTAAATTGGGATTTCAGTGCCTGAGCCAAGCTTCTAGTGGTCATGTGGCAGCAGGGGGGCTAAATGTAAAGATTAATAAACATAGCATATTTTTGGGGGAGGAAATCCCTAGTGGAAACCAAATTTCTTCATCTACAATATTATCTACAATTTCTGGATTATGGATAAAGATGGCCAATAGTCTAATCATGTAATAAACAAAATCATTCTTTAAGTTGATTGTATCTTGGTCACATTTGAGTTGTAGTAAAACATGCCTCAGAAAAGTAAAACAGAGAAAGGTATCCTATATGTTGTTTAAATATTTAGCAAGTGCAGTACATAATAGCAATAATAGTAATAGTAATTGAAATTAATAATAATAATGATAATAGTGACAATATCAATATCAATAATGATAATAATAATAATAATAATAATCAATAACAACAACAATAACAGTAACAACAGCAATAATTAATAATAATAAAAAAGCATATATAACACAAAGTTAATCTTCAATGCACATAATGTAAATAATTTTCCAAACTGGCTTGATTAATTAGGATTTACAGGGATTAAGGAGGGGGGAAGGGACAGGTAAACAATAGAACATATTAGTTTAAAAATATAAGAACAAGAAGAAAAGCAAATTCTATGTCAATTAGGGTTTTCACTAATGTGCCACCAAAACTACTATAAATCATCATAACAATAACAATAAGCAATAATAACTTTTAATGGGGAGATTTTCAGCATAAGTTTTTTTTTCTTCACTTCAAATCCTCATAACCAAAACCCGATCACACACACACCGGCCTCCTTGGAATATTTTAATAGGGGCTGAGAATTAAGTTCTTTCACACCGTTTAAATACAACTCGCACACTAGATCAACCGTACAGTCATATTCCATTAAAACAGTCAGAAAACATTTAGACATTATCATTGTTTTTTTTTTTCTTCTTATATATTAGACACAAAAAATTTAAAGTCACATGACATTATTTGACAACAGTCTTGCTTTTCCTTCAACAAATCTAAGCCTTCCTTTTTCTCTCTCTAATTATTTATATATATATATAAAAGAGAGTTTATTTAAAAAGGGAAATCAAAACAAAAACAAAACTAAACCAAAGGAAGTGTCTACACTGTATATCACAGTTTTAACCTAATATACCATTAAAAGGTTGCATTACCATCAATAAGTCTATTTATGTAAGCACATGTCCAATTCAAAAATACATATTAGAACAGTTTACTGAACAGGAGGAAAATATCTATGTAAAAATCCAAACTGCAAGCAGATTTTGCCTTTCATTAAACACATTTGAGATTATCCAATCAAATCATTGCAATGGAAACTTACAAAATTAATTTTTTCTTCAGAAACATATGAAAAAGAGGGAGACATAAGGAGTCAAATAAAAATATAGTAAACTGTACTGCAAAAGATAACAAACAGAATGTATAGAGATAAGGATTTGTGTTTTGAAGAAAGATTAAATTCATGTATACAAATATTTATTTAATTTTCAAACAAAATATTAACAGGTCAATATCAGAGCGTTCAACTCATGAAAAAAAGGAAAAAGAAAAAAATATATATACACACATAAAGATGGGTCACATTTTCTCCCGGTGGGAATCCAGTTCACATTTTCTGAAATAAAATATTCTAAACAATAATTGTAATGATTAAAGTAATAATAAAGAAAGAAGAAGAAAAAAATTACTTCAAAAGTAACATTCTTTGGTTTATTTCATTTAAATACAAACAAGTTGAAATTTTGTCCAACTGTTCCTTACAATTTTCCCCACTCTTTGAACAGCAAGATTACATATCGTCAGAACTTATTATACACTGGTTTACAATTTAGTTACAAGATAAAATACTGCAGACCAAAGACACACACTTATATAATGTATCCTGTGGCTTCATAATTATAAAATCCTTCTGCCTTTCCTTTCATTACAAGTTTGTAATGGACAAATAGCATGATTTTTCTACTCCCCATCTTATTTTCAGTCATGTCAATGATGGTTTTCCACATCCTCCTTTCTTTAGTGTATCAGCTGTCATTTTTAGACATTTAAATGATAATATACAGTTAAGATGTGTTATGGAATATATTCATGGCTAATTAAGTATTCATAATGGAGCTAGTTACAATTTGAACTATTTACGAACAAAGAACGTATTAATTCAAAACTTTCAGGGGGCGTATAAAACCACACATAACCACAGAGTAATGTTTCTGGGAAGAGTCAATCATTCTGTAATACACATTGTTCCTTCTCTATCTCTCACTCTCTTATCTTTCTCTCTCTACATATTACACATAAAAGACAGTACTGGTAGAAAAGCACATCGACAAAATGAAACATACTATTCTTTTTTTTTTAGCTTTTTTTTTTACCCTATTACCTAAGGTCTACCAACTAGCCAAATCAATGCTTAACCATAAACCAGACTAGAGTGGGTGATTTCTTGCCCATGTTCGTGAATCAGCCATTTTGAACCTTACTTGGAATTTCAATAAGGTTTATTACCTTGCGCACCCTAAATAAATAAATTAGAAAAAATATATATCCATCACAATTGAAAAAAGAAAGAAACGATCATACTGTGCACCTTTTAGCGTAGGGTAGGGGGGTTCCCTACAATGCGTTTCCACACTCACTGGTAGAGTATATGGTATCTCCCTCTCATTCACACAAAATATTGTAGCAAATATGTTGGCACTGAGAATGATACTGCCTAGGGTCCTAAATCTAAGAACAAGTAACAGGTTGATGGAAAAAGAAAAATGGAACTACCTTTTTTTTTCTAACATGTACTCCAATTGCTCACTTTTATGTCAAAACAGTTGATGCAAATGGATATCACCTTGATATCCTCCTAAAGAATGGCTCTTCAAAATATATATATATATCTTACACATACACACTTTACCTCAATAAAGTATGACTGGTTGTAGTTGCTAGCTGAGCTAAGCCAAGATAATTTCTTTTACACCAACCTTTTTTTTTTCAAAAAGAAAGAACTTAAAAAGGCTGATCATCTCCCAATGAAATTATGATGAATGGAGACAGGAAAAAAACAACAAAAAGTTATTCGTACAATTTTTTCTTTTCTTTTCTCTTGAACTGTGAATCTCAATTTTGCTTTTGAAAACTTCTCACCTTTATGTTCCATGTTACTAGAGCCAAATGAGTCTCTTGCTATTTCTAGCAATTGATAATTATAGCTTTGAAAAGAATTTCTAGACAATAATAACACATGCTAAGTATTTGGACTTCATCCGTGAGCATAATTTTACTGTTTAATAATCAGCCTTAACTAGTGTTCTTTTTGTTTTCCGTTTTCATCTACGAACAAGAGACTAATAATAGTACACTCGATAATTCTCACACGAACATTTCCAAAAACAGACCAAATTATGTAAATGTTCGTTAAACTTACTGACGTGAAAATCATAATGCCTTTGTACTTACAAGCACAGCAGGAACTCTGGCTTTCCTCACCAACAGAGTGTCAGTCTGTGTAAAAACTCACTGTTCCACTTACTTGACACTTAGATTGTAATAAACGGAAACTTGAAATTGCTATGACATTTGCTTTAGCTCTCCTAAAAAAAGAAAGACAAATAAATTGATGTAGGTCATATCTAATCAGAGTGATGTCCCGAGGTTACACTGAATGTCGACTTCATTACCTATAAATCTCACTGAAATTCTGGATAAGGGTAAAAATTGCTGGTTGTGTCATAATTGGTTTCCTGCAGTAAAGAACTGGAAGCTTGATTTATTTTTTTTTCCTTTCTTTCTCTCTCTATATATACAAAAAGACTAAGGGTATTTCATGTACAGAACATTGAAGTTGTAAAAATGGCAACTTGAGAAAATTCTGCACATAACTTGTGAGCATGGAAAAGGACACAGTCATACTAAATCTGAACTTGCACGCTTCCCCTCTCATTCCCGAATCCACACCAAAACCCATTCCCATGACTAAGGAACTTGGGGCAATGAGCTATCGTGGCCAGTTGAGACGAGGGCAGCGTGCTTCAGCCTGACAGTCTGCCCGCACCAATGCTGGGTGTTGTGCAACCATGACATAGAAAAAATTCATGATAGAGATACAACATCTGCTTAGAATAATCTGAAAATTCTCTATACCAAAATGAGTGCCAGGCGGCCCTTCCTTTCTCAAATCCTGCACATTCCAGTCTGTAATCTAG